ACTTCCTAATCATGTTATTCAGAATTTATTTATCTTGAATTCCATGATTTCTGGCATCACAACTCCATCGTATCACCCGCCAACCAACGACCCGTTCTAATCTGTGAAGAGTAGGGAAAGGGGTGAGTACATGAAAATACTTAGTAGGATATAAAAATTTATCGTGCTATCCCATATAAAAATTTTAAAACATACATCAGAAAAATCATACCGTCTCATATCTTTAAAATCCGGTAAGAGCTCATATCATATTGTTGTACCGGAATGGCCATATCATTCACATCATAACATATCATATCATAACTTCAACTTTCATGAGTATAAAATTCATCAGCATGAAAAAAACATTTAAATGGGACATAAAAACACTGCACCTCATATCCTACCTTGATTTAATTTTTGGAGGACAAAACAATAAAATCTCGTTCTTTTTTTTCTTTTCTACCTCTGCTGTGTTTTCCGTGCTTGCATATAATTTTTGTGTATCCCCATAATTGTACATGTATCTATATACCTACTCAATAATAACCTACCCTCAAGAGTTGTTACGTAGTGGGAGACATGTGCTTAATTGGATAAAGTTGAGGAAAAGGAATCTGAAACAAATCTAAACAAAAAGATTTCTACATGTGTCAATTTGAAATCTCCAATTAATACTTTCCCATACACGTGATGTCACCCACATTCATTCAAAGTCTAAGTAAGAAAGATAAAGTAGAATAAATAAATATATAAAAAGATAAAACAAAAGTGGAATGACTTTTCTCTCTCTTTCTCTCACACTCACAAGAATAACAATTCAAATCCATAAATCAATAATAATAAAATAATAATTTAAGCTTATATCTTCCAACGTCGATAACTTAGGCTCCGCTAATCCAAATTAACTTTTTCTCGAGCTTAAAATGCGTCTTCAATTACGATCTATCCAACAAGCCCAATATCCGTATACTTATTATCGGCCCGTCAAAATCTACATTTTAAGCCCAATAAAATTAAAATTTACCTTATATATACATTAGTCCCTAAACTTTCAAAACATTAATATATAGCATAAAAAATTAAATTATATTCTATGAAATTTCGGGACATTACAATCTCCCCTCTTTAAATATTTTCGTCCTCGAAAATTTACCTTGGTTAATCGAAGAGCTCTGGGTACTTGGTTCTAAGCTCCTTTTCTTTCTCCCAGGTTGTCTCGTCAAGTCCATGATTTTGCCATTGGACTTTGACTAGTGGAACTCCTCTATTCTTGAATTGATGTACTTTTCTGTCCAAAATCGTTGTCGGGATATCTTCATATGACAGGTCTTTTTGTACCTCCAAGGCTTGGTAACTTACCACGTGATTGGGATCGTGGACATATTTTTTGAGCATCGAAACATGGAACACATTATGCACTGCTGCAAGTTCAGGTGGTAAGGCAGGTCGATAAGCCGAAACACCAATCCTTTCCAGAATCTCGAAAGGTCCAATGAACTGCGATCTCAACTTCCCTTTCTTTCCAAATCTCAATACACCCTTCATTGGTGCTACCTTTAGAAAAACCTTGTCGCCCACTTGAAATTCTAAATCCTTTCTTCTACTGTCAGCATAACTTTTCTGACGGTCTTGAGCTGCCTTTATTCTTGCTCTAATTTTATCAACTACCTCAACTGTTCATTCAGTGATTTCGGGACCCAAAATTCGGTTCTCCCCGACCTCGTCCCAATGGATAGGGGATCTGCACTTTCTACCATAAAGAGCTTCATATGGGGCCATACCTATAGTGGCCTGAAAACTATTATTGTAAGCAAACTCCACTAAAGGTAGGTGTGTTTCCCAATTACCACCAAGATCTAAAATACATGCCCTCAACATATCTTCCAGGGTTTGGATGGTTCTTTCTGATTGTCCATCCGTCTGAGAATGATAAGCAGTACTAAACTTCAATTTTATCCCCATAGCAACCTGCAAGCTATTCCAAAATTTTGATGTGAACCTCGGGTCTCTATCTGAAACAATGGTGACGGGAACTCCATGCAATCTGATTATTTCCCTAATGTATAATTGTGCAAGTTGTTCCATACTGAAATTTACTTTGATTGGCAGAAAATGGTCTGATTTCATCAAACGATCAACCACTACCCAAATAGCATTGTGACCTCTTACTGATTTCGAAAGACCTACTATGAAGTCCATCTCTATGTGTTCCCATTTCCATTTTGGAATATCTAATGGTTTCAACAGTCCTGATGGCCTTTGATGTTCTGCCTTAACCTGCTAACAGATAATACATTTTTCAACGAATAGACCAATTCCTCTCTTCATGTTTCTCCACCAAAAATGTGTCTCGGAGATCTTGATACATTTTCGTACGACCTGGATATGCCGAATATGGAGTAGAGTGAGCCTCTTCCAATATTTCATTTCCTATACTTTCATCTTTAGGTACACACAACCTTCCTTTAAAAGTCAATACTTTATCTACAGATACTTCAAATCCTATACGTTTGTTTGTACCAATCTCAGCTTTAATCTTTTGTAAAAATGGATCCTTATCCCGTGCTTCTTTAATTCGATCCCGAAGAGTGGGTTGAATCATAAATGTTCTTATTCTCGCTGTAGTCTGAGTTGGAGGTGTGATGACTTCCAATCTTAGTTTTTCAAAGTCCTTTATCAAGTGTTCCTGCACCGTAGGTAAAACTGCTAACTGCAATCCCGTCTTTCTGCTTAAGGCATCTGCGACTACATTAGCCTTACCCGGATGGTAATGAATCGTGCAGTCAAAATCTTTCACTAACTCCAACCATCTCCTCTACCTCATATTCAGTTCCTTCTGTGTGAAAAAGTATTTGAGACTCTTGTGGTCTGTATAAATTTCACACTTCCCACCATGGAGATAATGACGCCATATTTTTAAAGCGTGAACTACTGCTGCAAGCTCCAAATCGTGCGTTGGATAGTTTTGGTCATACTATTTCAACTGTCTCGAGGCGTAAGAAACCACTTTTCCATGCTGCATCAACACACAATCTAAACCCTATTTGGAGGCATTGCTGTAAACCACAAATCCATCCGAGCCCTCTGGTATCGTCAATACTGGAGCTGAAACTAGCCTCTGCTTGAGTTCTTGAAAACATTTTTCACATTTTTTTGTCCACTGAAACTTTACACCCTTTCTTGTCAACTGAGTCATCGGCCCTGCTATTTTTGAGAAGCCTTCAATAAATCTCCTATAATAACCAGCCAATCCCAAGAAACTGCGAACTTCACCCACACTGCTCGGCCTTGGCCAATTCGTTACTGCTTCTACTTTAGCAGGATCCGCTTCAATTCCTTGGGCGGTAACCACATGACCTAGGAAACCCACACGATCAAGCCAAAATTTGCACTTCTTGAATTTGGCATATAATTTCTCATTTCTGAAGGTTTCAAGTACTACTCGGAGTTGTTCCTCATGCTGTCTTGTCTTTGGAGTACACGAGTATGTCGTCAATAAATACTATAACAAATTGGTCCAAGTATTGACGAAACACTCTGTTCATGAGATCCATAAATTCAGCTGGAGCATTGGTCAAACCAGAAGGCATAACAGTGAATTCATAGTGTCCATAACGAGTCCTGAAAGCAGTTTTTGGTATATCACTTGCCCTGATTTTCAGCTGATGATACCCTGACCTCAAGTCGATCTTTGAAAACACTGTAGCGCCCCTTAACTGGTCGAACAGATCTTCTATTCTTGGTAAAGGGTACTTATTTTTTATGGTCAGATGGTTCAATTCTTGGTAGTCAATGCACATCCTCATACTCCCATCCGTCTTCTTAACAAAAAGTATAGGAGCTCCCCAAAGAGATACACTTGGTCACATGAAACCTCTCTCCAACAACTCCTCTAATTGCAACTTCAATTCTCGACGTTTTTTCGGTACCATTTGATATGGGGCCTTGGATACTGGTGCTGCTCCAGGAACCAAATCAATTGTAAATTCCACTTGCCTATCTTGTGGAATGCCTAGTAAATCTTCTGGGAACACATCTGCAAAGTCTCGCATGATATTAATATCATTAACAGTCATTTCTGTATGTTGAGAACCGATAATGTTAACCAAGAATCCCTAGCATGACTCCTTTCTTAACATCTTCTCCGCTTGTATAGCTGATATAAGACGAGGTAGGGACTTGAACTTTGCTCCAAAGAAATGAAATTCTTCCTCTCCCGATTTGTGAAATAATACTTCTTTCTCATGACATCGAATGGTCGCATGATTAAGTCCCAACCAATCCATGCCCAAAATAACATCAAAATCTTTCATCTCCAAAAGGTATAAGTCTGCTTGTAATATTTTCCCATCAATCTCAAACTTCATAGCCTTTAGTCATCCGATTTGTACAAAGAGTTCTTCTTCAAGGGATGCTAACCTCTAATTCATAATTCGTTTTCACACATGCAAGGTTTGACCTAGCGACGAAGGATGTAGAGATAAAAGAATTGGTAGCCCCAGAATCAAAAAGTACATAAGCGGGTACATCAGAGAATAATATAATACTTGTTTGTAATTACAGTGTTAGACTAGCAACTAAGGGATAAAGATAAAATATTGTATGGTCATAGGTAAAAAGAACATAAGCATGTATGTTGAAAATATTAAGAGTAAGATACCTGCAATCACATTCGGATCCTGCTTCGCCTCATGCTGATTCAGTGCAAAAACTCAAGCCTTTGCTTTCTTATTCTTATCTTGATCATCATCTTTCTTCTTTGAAGGCTCTGTGCAGTTGAGAGCAATGTGTCCGAGCATACCACACCGGAAACACATGTTCTTCCCAAGTAAACATTCACCCCTATGGAGTTTATTACACTTAGGATAGGGTGTAATACTCCCACTTGTCCCACTAATACGAACTCGTACGCTTGGCCTTTTATTGTGCCATTTATGTCTATTCTTGCTTTGATCACTCCACTTCCTTTTCCCCAACGACTCCTTGCTCTGCTGGGCATACTTTTCAAATGAGGTCCTCTAATATGAAATAGCATGAGCCCTCTCCAACATTTCACGATATGAGGTGAAACGATGGGACATAATGATCATGGCGATCTCAGGGCGTAGTCTATTCTCGAACCTCCTAATCTTCTTAACTTCTGTATCCACCAAGTGCAGGGCATACCTTGAGAGCTGCTCAAACTGTCTTTCATAATCAATAAGTGACATGTTCTCCTGTCTAAGCTGTAGAAATTCTGATTCCTTGAAGTCCCTCAAAGCCTGTGGGAAATATTTTGTCATCACTTCATCTTTAAACTGCTCCCAAGTCAGATTACGTTGCTGCTCTTCCGTCCTTGTACGTGAAACAGATTCCCACCAGTGACCAGCTGCTCCAATCAACATAAATTTTGTGCATAATACTTTCTGTGCATCCATACAAGCAATGTGTCGAAATATGCGTTGCAGGCCTCTTATCCACTCTTTGACAACCAGTGGTTCAGAATTACTGTCGAAAGTAGAAGGCTTGTACCAATGAAACTGCTCAACCACTGAGATAGCTCCAGGGGCAAAATGCGATGCATTCTGCTGTGACGGTGCATTTTGTGGTGGAGGTGCTTGATTTTACCTGCTCAACTCTTGTACCGCTCGTAGTAAATCGCGCATCAAATTCGTATGAGTAGGTGGTGCCATTTCCTAAAATTTAATATGAAGTTACGATCACATTTCAGCACTAAATCTATCACGTTATACTTATTTTTATCATAATACATATCATCAATTTAGTGGGGAAATAAAGTGCATGTCTTAAAGATTTAGAAGTAGGTAATCTAAAATATTGAAATTATTGAAAACATCTAAGTGCATTCATTTTTTTACCCTTTTACATACCTTAGAGTCGTTGGAGGGTGGTTGATTGGTGGTCGTTGAGTGCCAAAGATCATTCACATATTTAATAACTTTAAATTATCATTATCGTTAAATTCATAAATTTTCATAAAAATATTAACATTTAACAAATTGCACAATGAACAATTAAACATTTTATTACACGTAACATTTAAAACGTGTAAAATCCAATGTTTATATATATATACTAGCAAATGCAATAAGGTCGACTAAACTTTTCTTCTTATCATAATAATTGATTTCATTGTTAGAAAATAAAAAATTATGAACATGTCCTTTAATCCTATTTTATCTTTTGAGGCATTAACATTTTTTTTCTTTCTCACTCTACGTTCCCTATTTGGTCACAATTTTATTTTATTTTTAACTTTTATTTTTTAACTATGCATTTTATTGATCCACAATTTTTTTTAATCAACTTTCGCTATATCATTTACTCGAGAACTATTTCTTTATTAGTTGTTTTTCTTGTTTTTTTTTTAAAACTGTCCACGTGAATTCAGAAATAATTTTAATTTTTTTTTAATTAAAACTGTTTATGTGAATTCAGAAATAATTTTTAAATTTTTTTTAATTTAAATTGTTCAGTGAATTCAGAAATAATTTTTAAATTTTTTTTTAACTTAAACAGTTCATGCGAACAGTGACCCGTCACTGTTCACGTCCCAAACCTCTCTCTCTTTTTTTTTTTTTTTTTTTTTTTTTTTTGTTATAGTCTAAGTCCACGTCCTTTTCTGATCATTTTCCTTGAATTTGGAGCCTTTGAAATATACATATAAACCAATTTCAAGATGGATATAGATAATGGTGTGTGCAGTACACATTCCGACACGCATGAAATGAATTAAAATCTCCCGTTCTCTCCAACCACATGCATAATTACAAAAAAAAAACCCAGAATTTAATGGCCATGTGCATAGTAAGTGTAACAATAATTAATTTCAATAAAAACCTTAATTTAGTCTAACAGCAAATGTTTCCGTGCATTAATTGGTTTCTTCAATTTCAAAATTTACACGTTACCGCCTCTCCCTTTTATTTTATTCTTTTATTCTTTGTAAAAGCCAGAACAAGTCCATTTAATTTATGGCCAGAAATTTTTTTCTTTTTTTTTTTTAAACCAAATTATGAGAATACATGTAAGTCTACAGGAATTTAAACCTATGCTCTAATACCAAACTATAACGACCCAAAATTTAAAGATTTAGAATCATTACTAAAACATTTATTTCTTAATTAAATAAATTATGTCAAACATAATTAACTGAATCATGTTTCAAATATTAAATTTCAGATTTAACATGATAAAACTGCAATAAGGCAAGAAAAATAAATAAATAGAACTTCCTAATCATGTTACTCAGAATTTATTTATCTTAAATTCCATGATTTCTGGCATCACAACTCCACCGCATCGCCCGCCAACCAACGACCTATTCCAATCTGTGAGGAGTAGGGAAAGGGGTGAGTACATGAAAATACTCAGTAGGATATAAAAATTTATGGTGCGATCCCATATAAAAATTTTAAAACATGCATCAGTAAAATCATACCGTCTCATATCTTTAAAATCCGGTAAGAGCTCATATCATATCATATCATATTGTTGTACCGGAATGGCCATATCATTCACATCATAACATATCATTTCATAACTTCAACTTTCATGAGTATAAAATTCATCAGCATGAAAAAAATATTTAAATGGGACATAAAAACACTGCACCTCATATCCTACCTTGATTTAATTTTTGGAGGACAAAACAATAAAATCTCGTTCTTTTTTTTTCTTTTCTACCTCTGCTTTGTTTTCTGTGCTTGCATATAATTTTCGTGTGTCCCCATAATTGTACATGTATCTATATACCTAGTCAATAATAACCTACCCTCAAGAGTTGTTACGTAGTGGGAGACGTGCTTAATTGGATAAAGTTGAGGGAAAAGAATCTGAAACAAATCTAAACAAAAAGATTTCTACATGTGTCAATTTGAAATCTCCAATTAATACTTTCCCATACACATGATGTCACACACATTCATTCAAAGTCTAACTAAGGTAAGATAAAGTAGAATAAATAAATATATAAAAAGATAAAACGAAAGTGGAATAACTTTTCTCTCTCTTTCTCTCAAAGTGAATAACAATTCAAATACATAAATCAATAATAATAAAATAATAATTTAAGCTTATATCTTCCAACGTCGATAACATAGGCTCCGCTAATCCAAATTAACTTTTTCTCGAGCTTAAAATGCGTCTTTAATTACGATCAATCCAACAAGCCCAATATCCATATAGTTATTATCATCCCGAGGATTCTCACCTCCTTAGATGCAATGAAAAGGGGTTTCACCTTTCATTTGATTGACCACCAGGTCAGAAAGTTGACCCTTCTCAATTCTGTGCAAGCATTAGCTATGGCAACAATAAATGAAGTACCTATTTTGACCTATAAAGAAGTGAACTCTAGTGTCAAAACTCACCAAAAATGGTGTAATCAACAGTTTCTTCAAAAGAAAAGAGACAAGGGACGAAGCGCTGAACCTAGAAATAGGTACGAAACACCCCTCCACTATCCCTATCACCAATCCTATAGCCATAGTACTGCTGACCGTAGGGATATCACACTACACTCCCAAACAACAATTGAATGAGGAGCAGGTGCCCATGAGGAGACGCACTTCTCCCTAAATAGGATCGACGACCTAAGACTAATGAGATAAAGTACCCCATCAGGAATAATGCCCAATGGAGGCAAGAAAAAGATGGAGAAATACCTAGAGAAGGCCAAAGACAAAGAAAGACTCCCTAACTAATGTTGGTTGTGAACCTATTCAAGAAAATGACATAATTTTTGGAGGCCCATATGTTAGAGAAAAATATAAATGCCTAAAGAAACTATACAATAGACCCAAGGACCCCCCAAATGGCGAGCTTCTTAATCAACAACAGCAAAACTTTAATTAGGAAAAATGTTCAACCCATCACTTTCACACAAGAAGATACCATCGGTGTGCGACGCCCTAGTAGTAAGGGTCATTGTGGTACAAAATGACCTCAAAAGAATACTGGTGGATAATGGAGTTCAATCAACATCATATTTCAAGCAACCATTGATAAAATAGAAGTTGATCATAAGCCGATCCCAATGAACTTTCCCCGTGTATTGTTTCACTAGTAATAACATCATCCCAAGGAAAAATCACGCTAGCAATAGAGATGGAGACGACACCATTAACTGCTCATCATTTTGTGGAATTGTAGGTGGTAAACAATCATTCGACTTATCACAAACTGCTTGGGAGGCAAGTATTAAAGGAACTAGGGGCCATCATGTCCATTTATCTCTTATGTATGAAGTTCCCAACGAAAAGCGACATTGCCACAATTAGAAGCAATCAAAGCAGTGCAAGAGAATGCTATTCAAACTCTCTAAACCAAGATATATCGATTTAATTTTAATGGACATTGACATAGACAACAACTCTGATTAAGGGTGAAACCCTAAACAAGAAGAGGACATCGAAATAATAGATGCATCTAAAAAAGATGTAGTTTTGGAAATACAATCAGCCCCTGAAGAAGAGCTACTGAAGAAGTCCCTAATCTTAATAAACATGATCCTTACATAATTGATTACGAACCTTAACAGCCCCGATTGAAGAACTAGATAGCTTCACAGTGGATTCTAGGGACTCCTCCAAATCCTTGTAGGTCGGGACAAACTTGCCAGTGGAGGCTAAGAAAAAGTTGAAATGTTTTTTTGGTGACAACTTGAATATATTAACATGGAAATACGAGGACATGTTGCCATTGACTCAAAGGTTAGTTATCACCATTTAAAGATTGATCCCAAAGCTATCCCTTATCATCAAAAAAAAAGGACGTCAATCTAGAAAGGTATGAGACAATAGTAGATGAAGTAAAGAAATTGATTGACAATCGCTTCATCTAAGATTCAATTTATCTGAAGTAGGTATCAAACCCCATTCTTGTTAAGAAGCACAATGGAAAATGGAGGTTATACGTAGATTTCTCTAATCGTGTTCCCACTTTCAAAAATAGATTAGCTCATTGATTTTACTTTTGGGCACGAACTGTTGAACTTCATGGATGCCTGCTTAGGCTACAATTAGATCGTAATGCATCCAACGGACAAAAAGTATATGTCATTCATAATGGACATAAGTCTTTATTACTATAAGGTGATGTCCTGTGGGCTAAAAAATACCGGGGCCCCTTATTAGAGACTTGTTAACAAGATGTTTGCAAACCTCTTTGAAAAAACAATGGAGGACGTGGACGATATTTTGGTGAAGAGCTAGAAAGTAGAGGATCATGTTAAACACCTTGACAAAGCCCTTCGAATACTGTGAAGTATAGGCTAAGACTTACTCCCCTCAAATGAGCGTCGGAGTTGTTTAAGGGAAATTTCTAAGCTACATGGTCAATCAAAGATGTTTGAGGCCAGCCCTAAAAAGATCAAAGCTCTTATTGAAATGAGGTCACTTCAAAAGTTTAAAAAAGGTATAGAACCTTACTAGGCGCACAGCAGCCTTGAGTCGTTTCGTCTTAAAGGCAACATATAAGTATCTTCATTTCTTTTAAGGTTTTGAAAAGAGAAAATAAATTCCTGTGGACGGAAGAGTGCAAAGTAACCTTACAAGAGCTGAAGAAGCAGTTAGGACAGGCTCCCCTCCTCTTTAAGCCTAAAGTTGAAAAACCTCTTTGCTATATCTGGTTGGAACCTCTAATGCTATCAGTTTGGTGCTTGTAAGAGAAG